TAAAAAGGAAATTACATTGCCTCTACTATTCCATTCTTCATTCATTTTTCTATTCCATTCATTTACTAACATAGACGGTATTTGAAATATTTAAAATAATAAATTAATATTACACTTAAATAAATCTACTTTTCATAAGTTTAAATAATAATTATATTTAGGTACCTACTACCTATCTATACTAGTTATTACTATTGTATTACACTCTGAATAGATTATTATGGAAATGTAAATAATACATTAAATTATCCACGTTGAATTAATAAACGCAGCTATTATCAGTTATTGGTACTATATATAGTTATAAATTATTATTATTATTATTATTATTATTATTATAATTAATCACATAAATTAAAATTATAATATATGCGAAATAAATAGTTGACAACTATAATAATATCTATATAGTAATTTATAGGTATTAAAAATTAATACCACGCTGCAAAACACCAGACCATAAACCAATTATAGTAGGTATATAATAAATATTTTTGTTAAATTATTGCAGTTAAACCACATATGAAATTTAAATACGCTCTGAATATATGTATGAAAAAAAAAATAAAACTAGGTACCTATTCAATTATTATATTTCCTTTCTCGACACGTATTCATGTATCCATCTATATAATAGTATTGGTCAGTGCACTTTGAATAATCAATATCGATACTATAATAACGGTGTCAATATATTCTGATAAAATTATACGAATACAAATAATCAATAGGCAATAAATAATTGCATTTTCTTTTTTTATTTGAAACGCGATTATAAAAGTATAACCGTCAGAATTTTATATATAGTTTATGTATTTTATTTTGTTGCTCAAATAATTGAATAAAAAAAAAAAGAAAAAATTCTTATCTCGAATGTAATAATAATACTGGCTAACTATTATACGTATATAGAACAGTTTTTATTATAAATTATTATTACAAAAATACCTCTCGAATGCTATCGATTCAAAAACGACAAGAAAAATTAAAAAAAACTAGAAAAAATATTATAAATGTATAATGAACAGACAAGGGAGAAAAAACAGACTCATTATTATAAAACCATCACTATTATATATTATATATTTTCTATTATAATTGGTAAAATCTAAGTTATATTTATTTTATATAATCTTTTTATTTAATTGGATTTTGTTTTATTGATTTTTCTTAAGATTGATTGATCTTGTGATAAAACAAAAAAAAAAAGTGGGAAATATACAGTAGGTATCAAATTTAAGTAGGTCCAGTATCTTGTTGCAGGTTTTGTAAATAGAGGTTATTTGTCAAGAGTATATACTCTGTTACTTTAAAAAACGTTAGTTCTCCGAGGTTTCCTTGTGCAAAACTATATACGTCCAGCTATCGTTTCTATTTAGAATGACGTTTCCCTAAAAGGCAAAAACCCTTTTCCGATTTACAGCGTATCATTTGTATGGTTTAAATTAATAGTTTTCTCTTCAACCCGCGCGCAAAGTGTTTTCTACATAGATATTAGGCAACATATCAGAGCACTGCAGTATTTAATCATCGGAGTTTTATGGCCAATCTGAAACGATAATGCGTTTCTAAATCCTAAATGTCAGGAGTGAAATAAAAAACAAACGGACATACTTCGCATGATGAGTAGGCCATTGCTGTAGGTGAAAAATTTAAGAAGTTAGAAGGGAAATTCAACGTATATCTGTACGCAACGATTAATCATCGCTGATGAAAAATGATGATAAGCGGAGTTCGGTTATACATGTTTCGAAAGGCCGTAATATTTACGATTTAATAAACATAATACATTTTGTATATTTTTTCGTTTTTCCTCATTTTTCCTATTAATTATGAAAACTCCATGAAAAATCATAAAATGATTTCTAAACGAGTACCACCTCAGTCAAATTTTCTTTCAGAAAAAACGCTACGCTTTAAAATCAGAGCAAAATTTCCGGCAGAAAAGTTTTCCTGAGAAAAAAAAACAAACATTGTAAAACCAATACATTCCTCGCATCGCTCAGAATATAAAACAAGACGTTAATGTTTCAAAATAATAATACATAGCTACATTAAATTTGACATTCTCGAAAATAAAATACTTATCTGTAATTTAATGATGTTTCGTTTGAGCTTTTAAAATCGGTGAATATCGGATAATATTAATACCGTATATGGGAAACTTGACAAGAAAATGTATTGAATGGGCGATAATCGATTAAAACATAAACGAATGTGCAGTTCAGCGCGAATTTCAGGTTTCTGCGATTTCACCGTTTAGACTTTGTAATATTCCGATTAAGAGATTGGGAGAAGCGATCAGTTTTTTGAAACGTTCGTTCTGGCGAGAACACCACATCTGCCTGTGATGCTAATTCTGTCTTATGAACGAACGTATAATAAATATGTTCCGCACAGCAGACAACGCTATACCGTTCGTTATAATAATATTATCGTGACAAATTATCAAAGTTGAAGATAATAACGAGTTATTTTTGCAACTAGATCGATTTTTTTGGTATGTTAAAGGTTAAGTGATAAATTACGAGTGAGTACGTGAAATATCACAATTTAAAAACGCTTGTATATCGCTTGAAAATTAATATGTCGTTGCCATTCGGGGTCCGTGATACTGCATCTAATAGGAGCCATATTGAAAGGGTAGGTACAAAGCAAACGATTAAGTTTTACTAAATTAAGGGTAATTTCTATCGACCATAAATCTCGTGATTATAAACCAGTACTATAGAAAATATAGGGCTATCAACCCTAATTGATAGGCGGGTTTCTGCTGACGAAGTGTTCCTAAGCAAATGTATATTGACGGTTCTATTGACTGGCTTGTCATGTTAAGTCAACTGAATTTCAGGGTTCCTTGCGTCCAGTAATTTTAACCTTTTTTCACAGTGATCTGCAGCGCCAATTAATTTCGTAATAGACAGATCAATGTTCAAGATGATGCGTGTTCATGATGCGTCAGATTTCTGTCTGTTAATACTATTATGTAATCTATGTTTATTTTTGAGGTTATAATTGTTGTGTACATATTTTATATATACAGGTCAATTAATCTATCGTAGATACTAATTATCTTGAAAAATAAGTGCATTTGTAAAACGCCATGCATAGCACTGCAACACAAATGATGCTTTACTAAGTTTCCCCGACCCAAATTTAAAAGTGGATTATCTCGTCAACGGATTGATGAAAATCAACAATTTCAACACTAAAATTTATTTTGCCAAATATTCCATCTATTTATGGAATTTTCAATATATATAGGTTGCCGTTTTAAAATCAAAAGTAGACAATGGTTTACTACTATGGTAAATAAACTTAAAAACTGTAGAACCGCTTGTTTCTTAAAATTTTCATGGAACAAATTTTGAAATAAGTTAATATTTTCCGAGGATAACGAGTGTCTTGCGATAGATCGATCACTCTATATATATTTTTACATTACCCGTATTACCGTAAATTGATGTCACGGCCCGTTCTATTATAAAATAATTTAAAATTTGAAAAAAAAAAACCCTGAAGTAGTCGCACAAACAATTCGAGTATGTATCTGCCATTGAATTCGATATAATAGGCAATCTAATTCGATTTAATATCACACGCAAATTCGCCGTGCACAATAATATGCGGGCTCCTCTAAAGCGTAAGACCGTCGTATTCGAACAACACTGACGACGACGAAGGCTCGCGGTGATGGCGGAAAATGAGATGAGAAAATAATATATAACCTCGACAGCAGCTACGGCTGCTGCTGCTGCTGGTTTGTGAATCCTGCAAACGATATACCACGTCACGTTTACATCTTACTTTTTTATATATATACACACGCGTGCGCGCGCGTGGAAGAAAAAGCTACCGAAATTGTTTATTTGCCGAATTCGTGGCACGTTCGGTATATATTCTCGTACGCGACCGCAGCCCGGGCGCGGGCGCGTATTTTCCGACCGTATAGCGGAAAGTGTTTACCGGAGAAATAACGTCGTCGTTTTTTGGGTACAATTAACGTGGGTCCGGGCCCCAGCAACCGTCCGTCCCCGGTCGATTCTGCCGGCCGCCGTGGGAAAACTCCCGCGTGTTCCGGCCGCGTTTTTCCGGACCCTATCAGAGTTCAGCCCGAGCTCTGTGAGTATATTAAGCGTTTTTCGTTAGCCGTACGACACTTATACATTTTATGTTCACGCCGAGGATACGATGAACCTCTCGGGCCAGTATCGCGCATATACGAGTTAAATCTAAAATTCTCATGTCTCGCGGCAGCAGGAGGACAAATTTTTTTTCGATTAACCCGCGGACGCATATTCGTTTGTGTCATTACATGTGTATGTATTTATACTATAATACTAATAATTTTCTCGTAGTTCACAACGTTAAACAAATATTTCTCGTGACAATCAATACAATTTGAAGGGTTTCGCGCAATAACCAGATGGATTCAGCTGTTTTCATAATATTTTTCAGGAAACGCAAATTACGTGTTAAAAAAAAACGGTTGAATTTTATGAACAATAATACCTATAAACATTCGCCGTTGTCGAACATCGCTATTTGTCGTGATACCGAAGTTTAACATATTATATCTATCAGGATATATCGATTGAAAAATGCAATGTAATGTTAATTACGGAGTCATCTCTTGTTTGTTCTCGATGTTTCGCAGTAAAAACGAATTTCGGAAATTACGAGTTTTCCATCGGAAATGACGAAAACACAAATTTCGTGGAATAGTATCACGCGAAACCCTCCGTTTGCACTTTTGGTACAGTGGCCGCTGCATATATTAATACCTCTTATGCGACTCTAATCACAACCACGTTAAACATTCGGTTATCACTTATCTCAGTAGTTTTATATAGCTCCACAATGTATAATAGATTTTATCATTCGTGCCGCTGCCCAATTGATCCCCTTTAACGATAATGACCGAACATGGTTGATAACACCTATTATACCGGTTCCCACAAAAAAGCGATTTGATCGTATTTTTCGGATAACGGTAAAATAATTACTATTACGTGCGTAAAGACAGTTAGTCACTCCCGCAAAACCTCGGCCATCGTCTAGTTTTAGATAATCCGACCATCGGACGGAAGACGCAAGTATTACACCTGTTCGATAAAAAAAAAAAAAAAAAAAAAAATATGAACTACCCCGCATTACTGTTTACGAAGTGAAATTCATACTTTTCATAGTTATAATAGTAAAGGCAATTTTAGTTTGGGGAGCGGTTGTGACCGTTTTAGCATTTGATGTACTACCTATTATATATTTGTACACGAATTTTGTTTCTGTATACTAGATAGCAACATGGTTGCGGAAATTTTTCGTTCCTAATTGTTAGTGTCAATAATACAATACGAACAAAATATTCACGTTGTATATTGGAAACAAATTTTGAGCATTTTTGGAAATGCATATCTGAAATCTGAAAACAACAATTTGATGAGACTTTCGTATAAATAATTATGCCGGATGTCATGGTTACGGTTTTATAATATTTCAGTTAAAACCACAGCGGTCACCTATATAGTATTATTTAAGCGGTACCTTAAACGTGTTATAATTATATAAGACTACTGCACGAACCCTCCCATATCGTATATTTAACGCTGTATATTCAATCGGCACACAGAGAAGTTCAAGGCAAAAGAGTCAAGTAATAAAAAAAAGAAACACAGATAAACCATATAGGTATTACGATTATCCGGCGAGCGTTACTTTACAACGTTTAAACATTAAAAACACCAAACTGATTAGCACTGTCTTTAAGCAACTCCACACCGATAACCTATATTTATATTTAACAGGCTACTGTTGTAATGGAGAGCGCAAAATCTAAAAGATATATCAGCTGTACGGCTATTTAGTTTATACACCGGCCACGCCGATAAACCATCACAATCAAAAAACGATTTTGAGCGGAACTTATCGACTCGGTAAGGTTACCGATATTAATCCTCTGATTCTGTTTCCTATTTATATTATACTATTCAATAATTACCCTCATAAATCAACAATAATAAACCGACGTTTTACTGCTTCGATGTTCCATAATATTATGTATATATAGCTGTTTATTTTTTATTTATGTAGTGCACAAGTGCATAAAAAAATTTCGTTACATTTTAGCGCATAAACATGATCTAAGGTATAACCTAAATAACAAGAGTTATAATTACGCGATCGTCTTGTTATAGCAAACTACTGCGGAAGTGACGGTTTTAAAATATTAAAAAAAAAAAAAACCATGTACAAACTCCGTGATAGTATAGACATTAAATTTTGTCTGACAGGAATATGCGTAACGGCGTATACGACAAAGTGACAGTGTAGGTATACGAGTTTTAAAATAAAAATTAATTATTTAAAGGCCGGTATATATAATCGTTAAAATGTTATCCGTTCATAATACCAGAAGACGTGTTGTTTTGGAAATAAATTTTAAATATTGAGACTTTTGAATATTATATTACATAATATTTTATAGCCGTTTTATAATAATAATAATAAGTTGCATCGTCATAATATTATTTCTCTGCGGACTGAATATAATTATATTTTATCAAACGAGACTTCGACAAAATGTAAGGCAATAAAATATTATAACGTAAAATAATAGCATACTTTCATAAAAATATTATTATGACTTATTTAGATTAATATAAATTAATTTTTTTTTAATATTTTACTACCGCACAAACATATGTTGTCCACGTCACTACTACAACTATTACGTAAAATCAAAAGGAAAAAAATTTTATTAAACGACCAGAGCGTGTATATACATATTTTACCTTAGTCGATTTTTTTTTATTCACTTTTTCATTAAGAAATAAATCAATAAAATAAAATATTATACCAAAAGGTTTGAAGGATTTATGTATAAGTATAACTAATGTTTTGTGTTCGAAAAATGCATCCGTCTGGCAATTATTTCCAATAATATTTCGTTAATATAATGTTGTGTCGTCGTACCTTTGACGATGATGACGCCCGTTTTTTTTACGTAGTTTTATATATTAAATAATATCGATTTAACGCAGGTTTGCAATCGAAAAGAAATTATTTATTATAAACAAAGTGCCAGAAACATTTGAACATTTTATTTTTAGATGTACACGTTTAAAAAAATTATTATAAAAGCATTCTGTGAAAATTTCAGGTTGTTACAATTATTTTTAACCGAATTACAATAATAAAAAAAAGGAAAAAACAAAATCTAAAATAAATAATTTTTTTTTCAGTTTTTCTGAGTTATTAAGAAAACTAAGGGAAAAACATAAAATTACCGTCTCAATTTTCTAAATAGATACAATTTTCTTCCGGAAAATATCCTGTACTAAAAAATCTGAGTAATATTTTCGATAGAAATGTTGTTGGTCAATAGACAAAAAAAAAAAAAACATATCAAAGTAAAACCATTGTATAATTTCTTGATCAGCTCAGATTCTCAAAAGTACCAGCACACACTAATCACAACACGGGTATACAACTGTTGTAGGCGTAACCATGGATAAATTTATAATATTAGTGAAATATTAGTTCCATATACCGAAGTGATTGTTTTTTTTTCTTCTTCGGCTTTTACCGAATATTAACAAGTTCACGGTTAGGGGGTAAATTCGAGTGATCTAAGTAGACAATACAACTGAAAACGGTTCTTTATTAAATGTGAAATTATTGTCGATACCATCGGTATCTGTTGGTCAAAATGTGAACCGAATATTAAACAAAACTAAGAAACACAAAATATTTGTTAAAATAAATTGGATTACAAATTCCGCATGAAAAATATATTGATCACGTGTCTTATATAAAAAGTGATTCTTTTATCATGAACCAGTAATTATCTCAGAGGATTTTAAATTATAGGCCCCGAGTATCTGGAAATTTCGATTTAATTCATCTTTTCCTGCGGTCTGCCTTATACAGTGTTCCTTTTGGTTTTCAGTTGAGCGAGTCCTTATTGTTATGTTGCTCGATTTCCCTACGTGTTCCAGTCAACTAATTTGTCCGTTTCTGTATTGTGTCATATCGTCTTTTGTAAGTTCTTTAATTTCCTATTACCCGTCGCAAAGTGCAGGATTCCGATTTTGACGAGTGCGTGCAAACCCGCCCACTACAAAACATCTTCTACTCCTGTCTGTATTATGTAGGTATTAATATTACATTTTATTTCCGGCAGTGTCCTTCGCTATTCCATTGCATTTTTCTTATCCCCCACTGTTCACCAGTGTTTTCCTATTTCTGTTACTCCGTCGGAAAATCGCTCGTAGGATTTTTCTTACGCGAAACGATCAATTTCCGTTTCGCGTCCGCATTATTCCAAATGATAAAGCGTTTGCTCATTCGGACCCGAAACGAACTGCTAATAATATATATATATATAAATCCCGATACGTTTTCTGGTCGTCCGATCCGGTCGCACCAAAACCGTTAATTTTCCAGAGTGGAATTCAGTCTGTACCGCAGACCTTTAATCTGCTCGGAAAATCGAAATGTACACGTCTACAGCAGCGCGTATTATAGTACGTGGTACGTATTTTATACGGCGTGGTGGCGAATAAGCCGAAAACGTACCCGCGATGATAAATAAATTATATACGTCAGCTCATCCACTCGGCGAAATTGGAATTCGGTTCGTGAAAAATTATATCCGTTTTGTCGAAACGGAAACCATTTTTTTTTTTGTTTCTACTGCGCTTAATATAAAAATTAACTCGTTTTTTTTTCTTGTTTTTTAAAATGTTCACAAAGCGGATGTTTGCGATAACTTTATACGCGTGTGATACGGAATGACCATACAAATTTAACATCGTTTGGCATTCGCCAACTTTATGAAATAAAAAAGACGTACAATACCTGCATATAATTATTTTATTTTCGTCAATGATTCGTATTAGTTTCTTTTACCATATCACTGCACATTAAAACAAACTCGAAATATATTTTTACGGTCGTCACGAGTTAAACGAACTCGTCTTGTTACACTACACTCCAACCGTGGTATAAACCCCCCGATTGTGCGATAAGAGCACATCAAGTATACCTGCCCGGTGGTGCCCACTTAAAAGTATGAAATAGGTGACCGATTTGAAGAGGACGCGACACTGCAGGTCACGTATAGTACGGAAGTCCAACCAACGGGCAACATATACTAAAATCCCGTAATTTTGAATTCAAATTTAGGCGGAAAGGCGTTTTAGGTGGTAAGGGGAGAATATTTTCGAGGGCGTTTCTGTAGTTTTATAAAATATCGCCAAACAAAATAACTATTGCTATAGCAATTCTTTTTAGATTCCGAGTGGAGCCAGAAATGTACTGGTTTAACAATGATGTGTATTTTTTATTTATATATTCTCCTAGAAATCTTACTCTAAGAAAAACATTTCAGGAGACCTTTTTTGATGAATCAATATGACTCTATAGTACTTTAGAAATGTAATTTTTTTAAATGTTCATTAATGTTCGCGTCACCGAGGAAAAACTAGTTTCTTCGGTTAAAAGAGACGAAAAGATTAAAAATAAGGTTGAGTAAGGCTGAAATGTACACCTACAACAGTGATCCACCCGCGGTGCGAAGTATTTCTGTCAGTTTTTTTATATACATATTATTTGAAGTACAACCTAACACGACTGTGATTGTATTTTGTTTGATAATATTTTAGACAGAAAAAAAAGCGTATAGTAACCTTGAAAATATTATTCTCTTTAAATTTAGTTACCTCTCCGGTAATATCGGGTCCATCCCGTTACAAATAATAAATAATAAAAAATAAATTATAATCAAAATAATAATAATATTTTAACGTGAGCGACGAGGCGTAATTTTAATTCTAAATTATACGTTATTTTGTTATGGAGCCCGGTTGTAGTTGAACCGATGAGAGACAGTAAATGCGGTTATCACGTCCAATTAGACGAAATTGCATGTTGGCACATTTTCGTCCGTTTCGCGAAAAGACGTCCGCTTCGTAACGTTATGATATTTTTACAAGTTTTATAACGTGCAAGAACATAGAAGGGGAATAAACCGGGTTCCGCGGCGTTTCGCGAAAACGAACAATTCCGCCGCCCAGTGGATGCGACGTATTATTATTATTATGACGTGACACGAGGTGCGCGTGCGCCAAACGAGTATAACGGGAATCGCGCTGTATACGTAATACGATTATATTGCTCCGCCGAAACCGCGAGCTGTACAGTCACAATTGTCCTCGACGGGCCGGGGGATAACGTTTTTAGTTCGGCCCGGTTTTGCGTGCCGGAATTTACGCACGAGCCTATGACCGCTTCCCGGACCCCCGGCTCCCGGCTTCCGACAGCGCACCCTGTACACGCCGCCCGTCTGGCAGGCGAGAAACGCGAGCGTGTGTGCCGGGACG